CAGCATTCCTTTGGGGATGCTAAATGGCTGTGAAGCTTTTGAAGGATCCAATGTGCACATGCTGGGAAAGGCAAGGAAAAGTAGCATGGTGGGTGCAGTAGGCAATAGTATACATAGCCATCAATGGCTTGGATAGAAATGAAAGCTCTTTGAGGGGACTTGAGTTTGAATCCTGTCTCAGACATTTACTAGTGCGCTTACTGAAAAAAAAAATCTGTCTAACTCTCTGGGCCTTAGCTTCCTCCTCTGTAAACTGAACTCAGTGGCCTCTAAGGTCCCTTCCAACTTCAAATCTCTGACCCTGTGAGCCTAAAGCTAGCCCAAAGAGGGACATCCTAAGGAAGAGGAACTTCTTCGGTTTTTTATCTTTTGCTCAACTGTTTATTCTAAGTAATATTTCAGTGATAGCCTCTCCTCATAGTGTTGTAAGAACAGCAGTATTGCACCAGGTTCTTGAAGACTTAAATATCCCATGAAGTGTTTGAGAACAAAGTGGAGGCCAGGGGGCAGTGTTGATGAAGGGGGTGGAATGGCCAACAACTGGGCTGCATAAGCAAAACCAGAGGGTCTGGTGAGAAGGGGGTACAAAGAATTACTGAGGATTAGCTCTTTAATTGCTAAAAACCAAACCAAAACAAAATAGTGACTTGCCTCTGCTATCATCTTGGACAAGAGACTAAATCTCTTTAGTTAGCTGTTTTCTCATTTGTAGAATGAGGATAAAAATAACTTGCAGAACCTATCTCCCAGGGCTGCTCTGGGGCTTAAGTGAGATAGATGCACCCAAAGTGCTTTTCAAATCTTACAGTACTCTATAAATATGAGCTATTTATTTTTTTCCCTTCTCATTTTTCTTATCTTGTGTTTGATGGAGTTTAGAGTGATTTGACAGTCACTATCTCACTGTTGTTCTTTTATGTATAATGTTCAGTAAATTCTGTAGATAAAATAGCTGCCTGTTGTAATTGAACAAAAGTGTTGGTATCGAAGGGAACCTTCTGTAGACCCACTGAGAACACCTCCAGGACAACTCCAAGTCTCAGCTAAAATCCCGCCTTCTGTGAGAAACTTTTCCCAGTCTCCCTTCATGCTAATGCCTTCCCTCCGAAATGATTTCCGATTTATACTGTATGTATTTTGTTTGCACATAGTGGTGCCTGTTGTCTCCCCCAACAGAGTGTGAGCTCTTTGAGAGCTGGGATTGTTTGGACCTTTCCTTTCATCCCCAGTTCAGGGCACGTTTTGTTGTTGTGGAGTCATTTTTCAGTTGTATCTGACTCTTTGTGGTCTCTGTTCATTTTTTTTTGGGGGGGGCGGGTTCTTGGCAGAGATACTGGAGTAGTTTGCCATTTCCTTCTTCAGCTCATTTTACAGATAAGGAAACTGAGGCAAACAGTTAATTGACTTGCTCTGGGTCTCACAGCTATTAAATGTCTGAGTCTGAATTTGAACTCGGGTCTTCCTAACTTCAGGCTTGGTGCCCTATCCACTGCACCACCCGGCTGTCCTACACATAGTAGGTACTTAATAAATGTTGGCTTAACTAGATACACATTTCATCCTGGTCTCACGGGTTTTGATTTTTTTTTCCTGCTAGCTCTCTGTATTTGGAGAATTTCTCATTCCAGGAAGTTTGGCTGTTTTGAGTATTCCCACATCTATTAAAAATGTTGATTCATAAATATTTGTCTGTCAGTTTTACTCTGGAGTGATGGCATATAACAGTTTGGCGTTCCATTTCCATTAGGGTTTAGTTGCTGAAATTTCAAGACTGTCTCGGTGTTGTTAGTACTATAAAAGGTCATGAAGTCTTAGTGCAAAATTCTTGTCACTTGACCATATCTTTTGAGGTAGTTGGCAACCTGCAGATAGATTACAGTATCTCTCAGCATCAAGGTTATCATCATTATTACTATCACCACTGTTCCCTTGTTCTCATCTTTTCAGATGATGTCAGTTAGAATCAGTCTGAGGATAGGTCACTGTCCTGATGTGCTATCCATGTTTATACTGGATGTCACCAACATAGCTATCACCATAATTTTTAAAGCAAAAAGTTAAAGAGATAAAGCTCAATTTTATTGCAATCTTACAGTATGTGGGGCTTTTTTGTCTCTTTGGGTATATCTTTAAGCAATGTACAAAGTGGGTTACCTCTTTTCCCTTGCAGACTGATTGCACATTATGATTGCTTTAAATGAATTAAGAGTATTGGGGAATATAAGCAGGCACTCTAAAAGTATGTTTGGGACCATTCCAGTAGCAGATGGGACAAAAGGGTTGACAATGGACTTTGTCCTGTTCCCCCATGGGTTTAATTTTTCCTACCAGGCCACTCTCTTCTAGTTTGGAGATTATGAATATCCATCATGGAGTCATATATTAATAAAGTCTTTTTTGAATTTCTAAAGTCTTTGCAAATAAAGATTGTTTCATTCTTTGCACTTGCATCTCTGTTGGTCTAGCACAGGGCCTTGAACATAGTAGGTGCTTTAATAAATGCTTGTCAGTTGATTGATTAAGTCTAGGCTGTTGGGTTAAAAAAAGCCAAATTATTATAATGAGCCTTATTTTTTCCTCCTTTTACAAATGAAGTTCAAGTAGAAATGATCCTCGACTAAGTTGCTATCCCTGTGGGGAGAGTTACATATGCCCAGGGGTTACTGTAGAGATTCAGCTTTCTTTCTGAGAAGGGAAGCTTGATTTACTTTTGAGTTAAATGATAAAAGCAACTTTGTGAGTGTGAGCTTAGAGTGGGGAGGGGGCTTAGTGGAAAAGAGAAACAAGGGTGAAGCATCCCAGACTCCCCTTGACCCCAGCACGCTTGCCACAACATTAATGCTCTATAGACTATTTACAGGTGGATAAAATCTATACCAGGCTTCCCAATTTTTACAGCCTTTCCCCTGTATCATCTTATTTGACCTTTGCAAGTAAGTGGGGGAGGTGTGGGCTATCATTATTCCCATTTTATAAATGAGGCAGACTGAGGTTAAGTGACTTGTAATTACAAAAGCTTGAGTTCCAATCTTACTTCAGAAGCTTAGTAGCTGTGTGACCCTGGGCAAGTCACATAACCTCTCTCAGCCTCAGTTTCCCTATCTGTAATATAGGGCTAACAATATTACCTATATGACAGGGTTATGAGGAACAAGCGAGATTGTATATCTCAATATAAACGCTAGCTAGTATTATTGCTTTTGTTTTAGTTATTACATAAATCCAGATTTACTGAGTTTCTACCAAGTGCTGAATATTCCATTATTTCCATTGGGAGGAAATATGATTTAGGGGTTAAGAGCCCCAAATTTAGAGCCAGGGGACCAGGTTTCAAGCCTCAGCCTGGCCAGTAACGTTGCAGCCTCTTCCTTTCTGGGCCACCTTTCCTCATCTGTAAAATGAAGATATTGGATTAGATGACCCCTAATGCCCCTTCCAGCCCTAAGTCTAGGCTCTGATGACCTACTACCTTTAGTTGAAAAGAACAATTTAGGATTTTCTGTTGGATTGATCTGCTGCATTCTGCCGTTAGCAAATCAGTCTGGCATGCTTTGGGTCTGACTCTATAGACCAGTTATCAATGTCAGAGAAGAATCAGTGACCTTCCTAAGGTTAATTCTTTGTGTCTTCTATTCAGCTTTGAAACATTCCCAACACACACCTTTCTCCTCATAAATCAGATTTTTAAAAAGTATAATTCCTTTCAAAATGTCCCTGTGGCAAACTTACTATAAACTAAGGTGAGGGGGAAGCCCTCAGGCAGGGCCTTAACCATTTCCTATTGCCCCCCTCTCCCCTCCCCCACCCTGAGTTAACTTCTTGGCAGGCCATAGCTCTCCCTAGCTTTGTGATTTTGCACACAATGGCTGTAGGGGTTAGGGGCTGGGACAGGGTTACCATGTTCCCACCTCACTCCCTTAAAGGGTATTTTTATTTTTGGAAACCTAGGTTGAAATGAATTTCCTTTGATGTAACTGGACTCAAGTAATTAGTGTGTATTTCAACTGATGCCTTTTTCCCTCTAGTGAGAATCCCACATTGTTGGCCAGGGAGCTTAATGCTTTGTCAGAGAGAAAGAGAGAGACAGAGAGAGTTCCTTTAGCCAGAGATTGAGTCCCCTTTGGGTCTAATTAGGTTACACACCTTTCATGTTAAAGGATGGGAGGGGGGGTCTTCATTCCAAGCCACCTGAGATTGAATATGAGTTAAATATTCCACCATGACCCCCAGTCCCTCCAGCCTCGGACCTCCAGCCAGGTTTCTGAAACTGAACTAACACCCAATTTGCCTTTTCCTTTTGATCTCAATGAAGAGCTTTTCACGGTCATTTGAATGCCACCAGTACTTCTTTTAAATTTGGAAGCAGGGCGCCTTCGATTCAGGGTCCTTTTTTCATTTCTTTCTGAAGCTAGGGCATTTGGAGGATGCACAGACCAAGTGGCTCCTGGTGGGATGTCACTGGAAGGAGGAGGCAGAGGACTCAGAGATGTTCAGATAAACCAAAAGAAAACTTCTTTTAGAAGCTGACCTTATCTGATCAAATAGAATGAATGAATGAATGATTCCATGGATGGGTGGATGGATGGATGGATGGACGGACTAATGAATGAATAAATGAATTAAAAAAACATTTATTAAGACTTACAATGATGAAGAAGAAACATGTGATTATAGCAAGTTAGAAGTGTGCCTGTATGCTCTCGAGCGTGTTTAGGATTAAACATAAAGGTAGATATGTAGTTTAACTTCAACAAACCACAGGTCCCTCTCTTAAAGAATAACTAGATTCTGTTTTTAAAGGGAGGGAGAGAGACACACAGAGACAGAGACAGAGACAAAGAGAGACAGAGAAGAGAGGGATAGAGTGAGGAAGGTAGGGAGGAGAAGAGAAAGAGAGAAAGAGAGAGGGAGAGAGAGAGAGAAGAGAGAGAGAGAGAGAGAGAGAGAGAAGAGAGAGAGAGAGAGAGAGACAGAGGGAGGGAGGAGGGAGGGAGGGAGAGAGAGACTAATCCTGACTCTTAAAAGATTTACTTAAATACAGAATGAACTGGAGAAAAGAAAGGTCTTCCTTCACCCCCTGCTATGATTGCATTTTTCCACCCCCCCCCCCTCCAAATTAAGTCAGCATTAGCTTCTCACTTCAGACCCCTGTCTCGAAGATTGTAGAGCTTTTCTATAAAGGCTCCAGACTGGGTGATTGGATGGTCCCTGGTTTAGACGGAGGGGGAGAGACTAGATGAGGTTTAAATTAGACTTATCTACTAACATTGGGATTTTTTATATCTGCCATTGAGGGATTCAGGGTCAGTTTTTGAAGACTTGCACTCAGGCTTGTTTTGGAGCCTCTGTCTTCTTTGCTGGTAAATATATGATCGCTTGGCCCGTGTTCCATGAGAAGAGAGAAGATCGGGCCAGAGTCTTGAGCCATACTGGTTGGGTGATGTGGAAGGAATCTTTTCTCCTCCCCAGTTTACAGTTCTTTTCATTTAAATTCTACTTTGAAAATTTGCTCTATTAAAAACAAATTTAGACCAGGGTTTTTCTTTTCTTTTCCTTTAAAAAACAGAGTATGTATGATACTGATTAGCAATATTCTTAGTCGACTTGTAATTGAAGTTCTCCTGTATTAATTAAGGGAAGACTCCGAACCACTTGGGGAAAAAAAAGAACATAAAAAGGGAGGGGAACAAAGTTAAGGTGGAACTAGCGAAATCTGTCTGCAAACAGCCTAATTTATTTTCAAAGGCTTCGTTTCAGCGAAGGCAAACAGCGTTCTTGCCAGGGAAAACCCTTTGGGAGACGAGAGGGCTGCAAAGATGTGTTGACTGCACAAGCCGCGTTGTTTGTAAAGAGAGGCTGGGTGAGATTTGCCCTGAAAATAGACAAAATCACGGATGCGATTGCAAGGAGTACCAGGAACAGAGACACGCGACGGCGGTGGCTCCAGGGAGCATCTGGAGCGGTTGGGGAGGAGCAAGGACTTCGGGATGAGGTGGCATGGCCCAAAGGGCGATCGCAGCACCTGCAGGAGCTTTGGGGCTGTTCGAGTCCTCTCCGTGGACAAACGTGTCTATCTAAGTGTGTATGCATATGTAAATACATATGCATAAGTACATACACACATGCATATGGACACACTTGTGTATACGTATGTGCATGTGTATGTATTTGTGTGTGTGTGTGTGTGTGTGTGTGTGTGTGTGTGTGTATTCCCCTCTCCCCTCCAAAAAAAAAGAGGCGGTGTTGTGTCCCGGCCCGGGGATGGGGTCCGAGATGAGGCACAGGAGGAAGTGGGAATGCAGTGCCAGCACAGAGATGGAAGGAGGAAAGGAAGGGGAGAGCCAGGCCCAGGGTGGGAGGGCTGGCTGTAACTATACCCCAAGCAGAAGCTGCTGCCGCTGGGCCGGGGGCGGGGGGCGGTAGCAGCAGCAGCAGTGGCTGCGGCGGGCTTAGACCCTCCCCCCCCCCCCCGCTCCCTCCCTCTCCATCTGCTCTTGAATGAATCACCCGCCAAGCCGCGCCTCCAGGGGCCAGCAGCGAAGCTAGAGGGCTGGGACCGCGTCTCTTAGCGTAAAGGCGAGAAAAGCAAGCAGTTACTTTGGGCTTCCTCCAGGGCGCTCTGCCTCCTGCCTCGTTGCCACTCCTACTGTACCTAGCGCGAGGAGGCAGAAGGCGCTGATGGTGGAAGCCACCCAACACATAGCCTCTGTTTGTACACCCCCTCCCCACCACCGCCTCAGTCCCAGACCATCACCACCCTCTGGCCCCCACACACCTGGCCAGGCCCTTACCGACCCCACTCCCTCCGCCAGCACCCTTTCCCCTTCTTGTAGCCAGCTTGTTCCTTTCTCCCTGGGCCTGAGCAGAAGAGACAGACAACGGTGAAGTCCCCCCAGCTCTTCTCTGGAGCCAGGGATGCCCGGAGACTGTCTCGGAGCCTGGAGGAGGAAGGACGCGCTGTGACTCCAAGGCTGCCTCGGTCTCTCCTTTGGATGATCCCGATCTAATCTGGAGACAGGGTGGGATCCTGAAATGGCTCGAAGCTAGGGTTTGCTTCTTTTGCCTGCAAGTCCAGGGGCTGCCTGTCCAGAAGATTCCTGCCGCCCCAGCTCCCAGCCAGTCAGTCCGGGTGTGCAAAGGCGAGCGCAGGGGTGCAAGCCTCTGTGTGTGTGTGTGTGTGTGTGTGTGTGTGCGCGCGCGTGCACGGGACCCACGGGGGAGGGGGCGCGGAACCAGGGCGGGAGTAGGGGCGGTGACAGCTGCTGCGGCCGCCGCTGGGGCCCGGAGCACCCGGGCAGTGGCTGCAGCCGGGGTTGGGTCCCTGCAGCGGAGCGGCAGCAGCGGCAGCAGACAAATAGCCGGCTAGCAGATAGACTGTGCGGCACGGTGCGCCCCGCTGCTGCTGCTGCTGCTGCAGCCCGGGCTGGGGCCGGCTACAGCTGCTGCTGCCCCAGACTCAGCTGGGGCGGCTGCCCCGTCTGTCTCTCTCCCAGTCTCCTTTCCTACTTCACTCTGTCTGGCTCTGCCTGTCTTTGGGTCTGTCTCTGGGTCTGTCCCTCTGTCACTCCACTCCTTAACCGCGTTCCTCCTAGCCTCTGTCTCCCCCGTTTCCTCCTGCTGTCTCCTCTGTCTCTTCTGTTTCTTCCTTTCCTGTCTTGGGCGCTTCTGTCTGTCCGTCTGTCTTTTCTGATCCGCCTTTCTGCTTGTTTCCTCCCCACGGGGTGATAAGGCTCAGTTAGCCGGCAGCCCCGTCTGTCAGTCCATCCGTCTGTCCTCTCTACTCCGCCTGCCGCTGTCTGGCTCGAGGAGGGGTTGAGGAGGAGCCTCAAGAAACTAACTCCCTTTAAAAAAAAAAAGCCTCCTAGGATAAGAGCAGCCGCGGGCCGGCCCCCTCCTCCCGGCGGCCCCCCACCCCTCTTTGCTTCCCTCCTCCCTCCCCTGCCTACCATTCCCACTGCATCCCTCCCCGTCTCCTGACACGCCGGCGGAGAAGAAGCTCTTTTCGCCGAGGAGAGGAGGACTAGGAGGAAGAGGAGGAGGAGGAGGAGGAAAGAGCAGCGGCAGCGGCAGCGGCAGCAGCAAGCCCTCCTCCAGGCGCCCCGGGTTGCCTCCAGGTGACGATGCTCTGGCTCTCCCCCAGCGTCCGGGCTCTGGCTCCGCGGCAGTGGCTGACTTCTCCTGGGATTGCCTTCAGTGTCTGGCTGCTGCTGAGTAACCTGTGGGTCCAGATGTCTCTGGCTTCCTCATTCCTGACAGGTAGGGGAAGGGGAAGCAGAGGCAGCCTCCCTAGGCTGCAGCGGCTGCTGCAGGCGCTGCTGAACAGTCTGTCTGCGGAGGCAACCTGGGAGGGAACTCGTGAAGGGGGCCGGTAGCTGACAGAGCAGAGAGTTAACTCGGTTCCTTCTGTCCTGGCAATTGTCTTGCCGGCAGAGGCTAACCAAAGCCTGGGACACGCATCTGTCAGAGGAATTTATGTGAATTCGGTGATAGGCACGGAATCACTGGAGCAGCAGCTTGGGGGACGGGCAGGCAGGGAGAAGACTGATTATTTTCACGTGGCAAGAGTTCCCGAGACCCGGCGCCTGGTAACGCGTCTCCGATCGCGGGATCCCCTCTATCCTTTGAATGCTTGCTTGTCTCTCTTCCCCCACTCCCAAATCCAGGCAAGCATTAGCTATCCCTGTCCTCAATCAGGTTGCACATACGGCTAATTCTCTTACCCTACGAGCTTCTTCAAGTCTGGGATGCTGCTGCAGCATCAAAATGCACCAGTTTTCCAAGACTTAAATTTCAAGAAAGTAGCGCGTTTTTTTTAAAGGATACTGTTCGTAGGATATAATTATATGTTTTCAGGCAGGTGAAGACCTAAGCTATTTTTTTTTTCTGGAGGACATACTTTACTGACACCTGGTGCATAAAAAAGGGTGTTGAGTCAATTTCTAGTAAAAGCAACAAGGATTACGTTTCAAAAAGTGATTTCAGGCAGCATGATAAAAGGCCGATCGGAGAGGGGGCCGGGGCAGAGAGCTCTAATTGGGTCCATTTTCAATTTTTGCCCGAGAGGCTAATCAGATTTTTTTTTTTTGTGAGGGGAAGATGTTAGATTAGACTGTCGCTATGGCTGTAGAATAGTTATTCACTGATATGATAGTTACACCAGCTGAAAAACAGAAAAGACGCTAGTTTATTCAATGACAGGGAAAGCCTGTCCCTTCTCCCTCCCCAAAATTGTCAAAATGGGCTTTTGGAGACCTGAATTGTTTCTGTGTGTTTCATTTTAAAGTTTTTTTTTTTGGGGGGGGGAATCATTGAATGTCAGTAAAAATAAGTTTTTTTGAGGACTGACTAGTTTTTTTTTTTTTGGTCTTTGTAGCCCTGATGACTAGCAGAGTCTGGGTACTGAGTGCAATTATCTAGTGCATTGGAATGAAGACAGATCTACTGAATGTGTCATAAACTAAATGCTGCAGTGTCTAGGGAGTACATAGTGGGTATTCAAAAATGTTCAGTAACAGTGGCACTCTGATCCACTGACTCCACCCTCCCCCCGTCTCCCCCCGCCAACAAAAAAAAAAAGGAAAAAGAGAACACAAACCTGATAGGAAGAATTTCTGGAAGAGGGTGGGAAGGGATCAAAAGAGCCACTATAAAATCATGGTGTCATTTTGTTATCAGTCACTGAACTAAAATTCAATTTAAAAACCGCCTTGATCTCATCACAGGTTCAGTTGCTAAATGTGAAAATGAAGGTGAAGTCCTCCAGATCCCTTTTATCACCGACAACCCATGCATAGTGTGTGTCTGCTTGGTAAGTCTGAACCTCCCCCAGTAAAGAGGGTTTAGGGCCGGGGAGGCGGGGGGGGGGGGGGAACTATATGTAAAAGGAAGTCACTCCTATGAAAAAATCATTGGTATCTGATGCTTTTATGCAATCCTGGCTTGTTTCTGAGCTTTGCTAGGGAGAGGAAATTCCGGGCCTCGGTCCTGAGAATCAATCACCCCTTTGACATCAGAGTCATAGAAGTCTGCTGAATATCGACATTGGGTGATATCCTTCCCGTTGGTGATGGTGGTTCCATTATTGCATCAGAATCCTACCTCCCTCTAAACTTTATACCCAGGTTGTTACTTCTTAAGAGCCCATAGAAAGGGATAGATAACATTTAAAGATAATGGAGAGAGGGGTGTGGCTTTGGTCTGGGAGAGAAGAGGTTTATGTGGTGGGGGGGAGGGGAGGCTGAGGGAGAGGTGGATATAGCTAAAGGCAGAATGAAGTTTAGTGAGCAACCATAGGTACTTTGCCTTTTCTGACCATTAGGTTCAGAAGGATAGAGAATCTGACTCCAGTGTTAGGGAGGTTGGAGAGTGAAGCTTGTTTCTAGCAGATAACAGTGTCTCTAGTGGAAAAAACATGAATTTAGAGTCAGAGACCTGGGTTCAAATCCTGACCCTGCCACTTACTACTTCTGTGATCTTGGGCCATTCACCTCACTTGTCTTGACTTCAGTGTCCTTGTCTATAAAATGAAGGGGTTGGACTAGATGGTCCCTGAGAGGTCCCTTTGAGCTGAATAATCTTGAGTTATTTTTAACCATAAGTCTACCATCACCATAACCTACCATAGTGAACCGGAGTTTCATTTGTGATCTTTTTTTTTTTTTGTAAATTCTCTTTAAAATTTTTGTAATTGAAGAGTGGCTATTTAAATAATTGAAATAACCAGAAGAGAGGAATTGGCTTATGACACTACTGAGATGAAATCATTAGGCTTCTTTCTTTCTTCCTTCTTTCCTTCCTTCTTTTCCTTTCTCTTGTTCTTTCTCTATTTCTCACTCTCTCTTAATCTCTTTCTTTCTCCTTTTTTGCTCTCCTTCTCTTTCTCTTTCACTTTTTCTTCCTTTCTCTTTCTTCCTTTTTTCTTTTTCTCTTCTTTCACTTCTCTCTCTCTCTCTCTCACACACACACACACACACACACTCTGTCTCTCTCTCACACACACACACACACACACACACACACACACACTTTAACATGTTTTACATGCCATTTACCAGGTCACATTTTTTAAACAAAGCCACACATGTCTATAAAGCCCCATTGGAAAAGCTTAAAGGCAGCGATGGCTTCTGTTTGTTGGAGTCCATGGTGAATAGCTGAAAGTGTGCTTATCGGTTTTAGCAAGAGCCATCTGTGTTTAAGCCACCCAGACTTTCCCCCAATAAGTGGTGAGGTCAGCGTTAAGAAATGATAAATGGGAATCAGGAATGATTAAGTAAGATTTAAGGATGAAGTCAATCAGTGGCAGCAGAGGTGGAAAATGTATTGTCATTAGGATTTTAAAGAAAGATCAAGAGACCCAGAAAGAACCCTGCTAGAGAGCTGATGGGATTTTACAGTGGAGAGTTTAGGTAATGATGTGGATATATGGGACTGTTTGACAGAATCCGTTGAGGTCAAATCTTGGCTCAGCCAAAGATTTATTGACTAGTTTTAAGGCAAGTAACCTAGTTCAGACTCCGTTTTCTTTATTTACAAAATGGAACTGAATGATTCCTATTTAATCTCCTAGGGGTTCAGAGGAAATTACTCTAATTAGGTAATATTTAAGTGCTTAAAGTTCCAGAGATGAAAGATTATTTTTCTCCAAGAAATTATTTGAGTATTAAAATGTAAAGTGATGAGGGGCTTTTGAAAATCTCCTTCCATTTCCATAAGCATTTTTCTTTTGTCTTCATATCCCCAACACCTAGCATAGTGCTTGGAACATATTAAGTGCTTTATGGGTGCTTGTTAAATGAATTAATAGTTGGAGGGAAGTATTTGAAAGTATCTAGTAAAACTAAGGAAATCATTTTCAAAATAAAAAAAAATGGAAAACTTACACCTTTCTCTGAAGGCAGATATTGTTTAATGTGTCTGCCCTGGTTAGTTCTGAAGAGGATCATAAGATCATACATTTATAATGTCAGTTCAACCACCTCATTTTTCATCTGGGGAAACCAAGGCCTAGAGAGAGATCATAGTTTCCTAGCTTTACAGCTGGAAGGTTCCTTAGAGGTAAGCTGGTCTAGTGCTTTTACTTTATAGCTGAGGGAACTGAGATTAAGTGACTTAGTCAAGGTCACAAAGATGCTAAGTAGTGGCAGTAAGAGTTAGTCTCTGTCCCTCAACTCCAAATGTATTTCTCTTTCCCATGGCATTGCTCTGGGAAGAGGCATTCTATTGAGAGCATTATTGTACAAAGTTAGAGAGATGATAGGGCTATTGATTTTTATCTGCCCCTAAAGAAACTAGAACCTTTGGGGATCATTGATGCCTAGTATGAGATCAGCAAGAATTATTTTTGAATAGTACATCACTTGCACATAGTTGCATAGTATATGTTATGTATTATGTACATATGTGCGTCATATATAATACATATATAACACATGCTGTATAATGACAAATACGTGCGTATCTATTACATATATACATATACATACACACATATATGTATATGTATGTGTGTATGTGTATATCTATATCTACATCTATATCTACATCTATATCTATATCTATATCTATATCTATATCTATATCTATATCTATATCTATATCTATATCTATATCTATATCTATATCTATATCTATATCTATATCTACATCTACATCTACATCTACATCTACATCTACATCTACATCTATATCTATATCTATATCTATATCTATAATCTCATCTAGGTGGCCCAGTGGGTAGAATGCCCAGCCTGGAGTTGGGAAGATTCATCTTCCTGAGTTTAATTCTTGCCTCAGACACTTATTAACTGTGTGACCCTGGGCAAATCAATTAACTCTGTTTTTCTCAGTTTCCTCATCTGTAAAATGAGCTGGAGAAGGAAATGGCAAAGCACTCCAGTATCTTTGCTAAGAAAATCCCAAATGGGGTAGCAAAGTATTGGACATGACAGAAAACTGCTAGCACAAAAACATTTTATACACATGTACATACACACACACACACACACACACACACACACACACACACGCACACACATGTAATTTGGCAGCTAGGTGGCGCAGTAGATAGAACGAAGGCCTTGAAATCGGAAAGACCTGAATTCAAATATGAGCTTAGACACTATCTGTGTGACCCAGGGCAAGTCACTTAACCTGTCAGAGCCTCAGTTTCTTCATCCAAAATAAGAAGAATAATAGGACCGACCTCCCAGGATTGCTGTGAGGACAAAATGAGATGCTTTTCGTGAAGCCCTTCGTAAATCTGAGAGTGCTCCATAAATGCGAGCTATTACTATTAACTACGGAAATTGGGATTGCTAATGAGCAGGAGATAAGATGGATTCTGCCAGCTGACAGACCCATAGACATGGTTGGGAGCGCTTGAGAGTCTAGGGTCCAAGCTGCTAAGTGTCAGGTAGCCCAAAGCCGAGAAGGCCTTCATGGAGTACGGAGCATTGTGTAACCTCCTTGGTCAAGTGTGGTCACTAGAGAGAGGCTTTAGAGTTGACCTCCAGTTCATCTCTCTCTCTGGATGTATCTGCTTCCCTCTAAGGCTGCCTACTGTAGAACCCCAGGCACACTTGGCAATGGAGCAATTGCAGGGCTTTTAACTCTTGGACATCTGAGGATGGATGGAGAGGCACCCCCAGGAAGAGGAGAGTGAGTTGCTGCCGTCTGTGGGCCTCCATTTCCTCATCCGAAAGAATGAGAGGCTTCAATGGGATGATCCCAAAGGCCTCTTTCCAGTGTTAAATACTGTGATTTCATAGGGGGCCAGTTTTGTGTTTGCTAGAGATCTGAGGAGAGAAGTGAAGAAACAGTGAAATAAATGATGGATTCATGGATCTCAGGGCCTCCCTCAAGCTCTCCTGGGTTTTTTCCTTTGAGCCTTTCAGGAGTGCCCTGATTAAGAAGCCCCTACTCCTGCGATGTAGTGTTAGGATTCCAGCTGACCTGTGGGGAAGCCTACATTTGAGCTGGTTTTATGTATGTACTTTAATAGGGTACAGAATAGTGTAAACTGTACTTTGGATGAAGAAAATAACCAGATTTGGTTTCTGCTGGGGCAGTTTTCTGGCAGAGAGAGGCCTAGTGCTCAGAATAAGCTTATATCTTATTTCATAACATGTAAGGAAAAAAAACCCGACCTCAACATAAGCCTAAAAAAAGACGTAAAATGTTATAGTCTGGAGGAAATAGGTGGCATGGGGGCCTGTATATAATTACAGTGTAAAAGTTTGAAAAAGCCCACAAAATCAACTTTGCCCGATTTAAACTCCTGGCATTCAGAATGGTTTCAAAGGTGGAATGAGCTCATTTCAAGAGGGATGCTGATGATGACAGCGAGGGCAGTGGTAGCCATGGGGGAAACTGGGTAATTCGACTCTCATTTATCATCATCTGCATAAGCCCAAGCATCTTGCCAGAACAAACCAGGCTCCAAGAATAACCTGTTTATTGGTTGGTGATGGATGGAGTTTTAAAACGAATGGGCCAAAAAAAGTCAGGCCATCCATTCAAGGGAAAAGTTGAGAAAGATGGAACATGGTCCTTAGAGGTAATATGCCAGCGAGCAGCAGGGGTATTTCAGTAGACAGATTTTTTTTTTTTGATACCTGCCTGTGGTTCAGAAACTCCAGCTACTGATACTAAGCCCTTCAAGGCTCGTATGAGCTTCACTTTGGAACTGGAAGAGAATGCAGACCCCATCTGCATCAACAGCCTGATTTCTTTAGAGGTTCCAGGACAATGGAAACTGCTTTCCCAAGATTATACATATAGTAAGCATCTGTGTCAGCACTTGAACCC